AAGGCCATGGTGAGAGCTGGCTGGAGGTCGGTGAGGTCAGGGGGCGCAGGGTGGAACACAGGAAACGGTCCCGGTCACACGGGGCCTCGACCAAACAACAGAGTGTGGAGGGCCCTGCCCCCTCCCCTGGAAAGGTGGGAGACACAGAGGAGGCCCAAGACTGCGACAGATGCCAGGGCCTGGCAAGACCCTAGGGGAGTGGCCGACAGAGGCAGAATGACAGCCCAGGGAGAGCTGGCAAGGGCTCTAACCACCCAGCACATTTCTAGGGGAGCGGGGTGCCAGGGGAACTGGTTTGCTGACATACTGGGAGGGGGAGCAGCAGAAGGTGAGCGTAGGGGAGACCCCCGTGCAGAGCCGTGGGCAGGGGTACAGGTGCTGGACAGGAGTGAAGCCAGGTCACCAGGCCTCGTGATTCAGGAGGGGACTCTGCCCAGCTGGCTTCAGGCGTTACCTGGCAAAAGCTTCCCAACAGTCTCTGCCTTTACTGTCTGTTCAGGAATACTGACCTCAAAGTCAAATGTCACAGTGCCCCCCTCCCAACATCCCACCCAACCAGGCCCCGAACTTCACCAAGCAGTGGGGATAGGGGCCGGTGCCTCCCTGAATTCTGCACCCTCCTTCCTCTCTCCAGCCTGAGTGGGGGCAGGGGACAAACCAGAGGCTGGAGGCCGTCCTGTATAGGGTAGTTGCAGAAGACCCCAGCCAATAGCCAGGAGACATGAGGCAGCACCGATGTCACCCCTTACTGAAGGCGCGCTCTCCGGGAACAGCCAGCACTCGTCCCCAGGCTATGCACCACAAGAGAACCGCTAGGTTCGAGATGGGCCCTCACACCCCTGCTCATGGCCAGTCTTCTGTTGTAAAAGCAACAGATTCCAGGGTTCCAAAAGGCCAGGCTACTGCAGAAAATGCATGTGCTCAAACCACCCAGGGAACAGTCCCAGAGAAGTAGCCAGAAGCCAATTCAGAAATGAGTCACCACATCAGCCAGAAGAGAACAAGAAATCATCCCCGGGTTATTTGCTGAGCCCCTTGCACAAGCCCTGCAGTGCCCTTCAGCTCTGGAGAACGAGGGGGACCCCGATAGGGGGGAGCTTCCTTCCGCACCCCACGTCGGGCATAGAGATGCCAGAGGGCACGGGACGTCCCAGGCAGAAGGGAGCGTCGCTGACCTCTCAGCTCCGCCTGCTGAGCAGACCAAAGTGGAGTCCTCCAAAGCCAGGCTAGTCCAGCCCCAGACAGCCCACCACATCACGTCAACTACGTCCTTTCTCCAGATGGAAAAGAGGAGAGACTGAGAGGAGCACCAGGTCCCCGGGGCGGGATCTGTGGCAGGCTGGGACTGGCCACGGGGCTCCACCAGGACACCGTCCTGCCCAGCAAAACTGCGTCGCGTCAATACGTGCTGTTATCATCTGCTGGGGCCCCTGCAGGCCCTCCCACAGCAAATGCTGCCGGACGTCCAAAGAAATATCAGGAATTCATTTTATTTGTATCTTGTCAAAATTCAGAGGCTTTACAAGTGACTCTGTGTATTTAAATAAAAAATGAAAAAAAAAAAAAAAAACTTTGAAAGCTAAAAACCTGAAATGGGTCTTTGATCCAAGAATGGTTTCATCTATATTTATATAAATGCGACCATCTGCAAAAGGGCCAGCCAAGGCAGAGATAGTGTGCTCTTGTCAGTAAACACTGTTCATTTTATATCGTCTGGAAAGAGAAATCACTGCCCATCTGAAACTCTTCAGAACACCTTGCTTCCTCCTAAACATCCATATGCAATTTTTTAAGATACATGGATATGTAATGTTTGGAAGAAGAAACCCCCAAATCTTTTCTGGAGAACATGATTAATGATGACTTTGTTCCATATATGTATAGTTCAAATTTTTCGGCAAGGAACCTGTATCATTTTATAAGCAGAAATACTAGTTTTTTAAAGACTGAGGATCTCCTCTTTTTTAAAAGGATATATAATGTGTCAGTCGTTTCTGTTGTTATAACTCCAATCAGATATTCTGGACCCAAATATTTCATTTATACAGAAAAGTAATCCACTGTGTAAAAACATTAGCTACTATTATCAAAGTTAAACAAGCCAAAGATAGTGACTTGCGTTAGAAAGACAACATGGGCACACCAGGCTCAGACGCAGCTCAAATCCCAGCTCCAGCACACACCAGCTGTGCAACCTCGGGCAAGTTTCATAACCTCTCTGATCCACAGTTCCTGGATCTATAAAATGCCAGCTCTGAGGAATGCAGGACTGCCAGGGGCAGAAGCCATGTGCCTGAAGGCACACAAAGCCAAACACACACACACACACACACACACACACACACACACACACACACACCAAAATAAAATCACACCCTCACTTTTATTCTGAATGTTCCAAATGTGGCAAATAGTGGTTGATAAAAAAATTAATCTGCCATTCAAATTCCTTTCATTTGAAAACAGATGCAAATAAATTTTCAAAGTAAAACACAAGACTTGAAAGCAATGTGGATATGGCCACATCCCCCTTTCCCCTGGGCCTCCAGGGGAAGTAAACACCTAGAGGGACATGTGACAGGTCCTCACTGAGTGCCTAGAACTGGCTGGCGGGACTCGGTCCTTAAGTGGTAACTACTATCATTCCCTCTAGGAAGGCGTGTATCATTAAGTAAGAAAAAGGTGCCGTCCTCCTGTCTTACAACCAACACACGGCGACTGGCAGGCTTTTTAACTGTAGTATATTGCTAAGTGCACCTTGTATTCTCTGGGGATGTTAGCATAAGCTAAGCAATCGATATGGCTTATCAGATCAAAAAATATATATAAGGAAGATAAGAAGCCAGCAAAGCAAACGCACAGCCTAAACTTTCATGGAAGTAATTACCACCCTATAGGCAACACCCACACACACCACATGTGCATCGATTTCCCCTTTCAATGCTTGGGAGCCAAGTCAACATGGGGAGGCTCTGGGCTGTTTGATTCCGAGGCAGCGGGAAGGAAAATATACAGGAAAGAACAGAAGCTGGAGACTTGGCCACGCTCTTCATAACCGGAATTCAAAGAGCACAGGTTCTTTTTATTATCAGAAAATGGAATCTTGACACGACACTCCCACTGGGAACCTGGTCAGGACCCGCCAGCATTCGACTACTCCCCGGACAAGGGGGTGCGCGCCTGGAACCTGAACGGAGGCTGCCGGGAATCACCCCACCGGCCAGCTTCGATTCACAGGTCAACCAGCTGCACACACCATCCACTTAATTAATCTGCTCTTGAATTATTTATTATCTTCCCCTGAGGGAGAGGAAATTCTTCTTGCTGGTTACCTGCTCTGCTCCTGGGCTGACAGTTTGATGGAGCTCTCGGCTACCCGCCACCCTCTGGCCAAGACAAGAACATAAAGAAACAGCAGCTGAAGTATTGCCGAAAAGGGGAGTTGTTAGCCTTCTGGAATCCGAATAACTCCCCAGATCCGGGGAAACACAGAAAGCTCCATTGAAACACACGGGCAGGTACGTGCGGCACTAATTGGGTGTGATCTGTTCTGCACCCCTATTTATTCCAAATTAGGTAGAGTTTCATTCTCCCTTAACAACGTCAACAACCTCTAAGCTCCTTTCTGCAGAAAGAATTAGACCCAGAATCCGGGGACAGAGGAGAGACCACAAAATCCCATCACTTTCACCGCCGGATTTTTTGATCAGCCCCGAAATTCCTGTGTCTGAATTTCTTCTCCAACACTCCCCCACCTTCCTAAACCAACTGATTCACAGACTTGCACAATCTAGACGCAAGAGGAAGCCTGGGGACCACCTAGGTCAACTCTCGCTTTGGGGATATGAAAGGAAGTGTTAACCTGTTCCTTCTCCTCACTCCTGGGAAGCCCTGTAACAGGACCTGCTCTAGCTTAGTTCGTTCTTGAGATAAATCCTCTCACTCCAGAAATCGCCCCTAGGAAACACCAGCATCCCACCCAGCCTGCAGCTCTTCCCGTGGGGCAACTGCCCCTGCACACGAGCTCTGGAAGGCTGGTCTGAGACAGAGACCAGCCTCCAGGAACCCCTGCCAGGGTCCCTATTCGCCCCCAGACTCGCGGGTCCATGAGGTTGCAATCTGCGCGCTCAGTCTGGAACTTCAGACCTCCGCTGTTCTTCTACCCACCAGCTCCCCACTGGCTAGGGCAAGGGGCCCTCAAAGAAGGGGCCCCTGGGAGCACTGGGCTTGCCAAGTGTGGCACCGATCTGTACTGCGGCCTCCTCCTCCCCTTATGCAGAAGTGCTGCACGTCCTAGACCCCCACTGCACCTTCAGAACCGGGGCCTACCTCCACTGCTCCCAGCCGGGCGCAGCCCGGGAAGGACGGCGGGACGCTGGAGCGGGGAGTCTGCCACCTGCGGGGGACCTTGCAGCAACTTGGTGGCTGGGCCCCGAGACAGCGGAGGAGGGGGAAACTCGTGGCCCGCAGGGGCCTCTCCCCCACGGGACAGGCGATCCCCGCTGCTGGTCCCGTCTCCTCCAGGCCCCTCTCGCTGCGCGCCCTCTCCAACGGCGCTCCCGTGGTGTCTCCGTTTTGTCTCCAAACGTGTCTAAACGCAACCCACCGCAGACGCTGACATTTTCAATGTTTAGTTGTTACAGCTACTCGACTAATTGCCGGGACGGCAGCGGCGTCGCTCCTTCGCTCCCGGCGGGTAGGGAGGAGCAGGGTAGGCGGGGGCGCCGCCGCGGGCCCAGCACTGGGGCCTCGCCGGGGAACCAGGGCTCCCTCCGCCCCCCCGCCAGCAGCCGGGCGCCAAGGGCGCGCGCGCCGCGGACTCGGGATGCCCCTAACTGTCCCCCTGACCCGGGACCTGGCCGGCCGAGGGTCCAGCCCGTGGGTGCGCGGCGGCTGGCGCCGTCCGCCCCTCGCTCCACGGTCAGGTGTACTTCAGAGAAAGCGGGGAAGGAAGGGAGGAACGGGACTAAAAAAAAGAGAAGCCGCTGCCGGTTACTCACGTGCCAGATGGCGAAGAAGATGAGCGCGGCGCACAGCACCAGGGACAGCATGTAGCAGAAAGCAGCGAAAGTGAAGGCCATGGCCAGCGGCGGGGCCAAGCGCACCCCAGTCCCGCCGCACACCAAGAAGGTCCTCGGAGGCCAGCGCCACTCGAGGACCGCCCTCCCTCCTAGAGGGGCAGGCTAGGTCCACACCCTTGCGTCGAGGCCGGAGGCTGGGAGGAGGCAGGCCAGCAGGGGAGCCTCGAGGGTCAGGGGCGGCGGTCAGCGCCGGGATCCCGAAGCTGCGGTCGGGAGGACACCAGCCCGCCCGCCCGCGGACTCACGGCCGGGTGCTCCGGCGTCGCTGGCGGGAACAGTCCCCAAATCGAGGAAACCAGTCAGTAGAGAACTCGTGCAGACCAGTGCAGCCAGAGAGCCTCCGAAGCAAACCCGGCGAGGGCCGCGCGACCAGCTCCTGCGCCCGAAGAGCCGCGGCTTCCCGCGCCCGAGTCCGAGGAGAGGCGGGAGCGCCACCCGGGACCCTCCCGCGCAGCCCCGCGAGCTCCTCCCAGATCCCAGAGCCGCGGGCGCTACCTCCCGCGAGCACAGGTCTTGCGGGGGTCGCAGGCGCGGGAGCCCCGCGCGGCGACCCAACCTTCCCCGCAACCAGGCTGGACCCGGCGCGCAGGGCTCCGGGCCCCGCGGGCCTGCCTGCTTCCCGGCGGCCGCCGAGGCGGGTTTCAGACCGGGAGCCGCGCCCGCCTCGGAGCTCGCTCCACCTGCTGCTGTCACCGCCGCCGCCGCCGCCTGTGCCTCGGTCCCGGGCTCCCGCTCCTGCGAGCGCCGCCCACCACCCCCCCACCCCCCCGCCGCCGGGAGATCTTCGGCGGGGGCGCCCGCGCTGTGCGCGCCCGCCTCTCCCAGGACACCTGCGGCAGGCGGCGCGGGGGGGGACTCGGAACACGTGCGTCTGAGGAGGTGGGAGCTGCGGGAGGGGACCGTGCGTACTCGCGCCCCGCAGCGGCCGCCGCCGCGGGTGCTCGCAGCGTCGCCCGAGTGGGCCGGCCCTGTGTGGCTGGGGACGCGGGACGAGCCCTTGGGCCCCAGCACTGCTCCTGTAGTGCCCTTCACGTGGGTCCGCATTGGCGGCGCTGCGCCAGCCCCTGCAAAGTCCCGCAGGGACGGCTTCCCCTTGGAGAGCCCCCTCACCCTGCTGTCTGACTTGGGGTTGGCAGACCCAGACCCTGTCTGGGCTGAAAGGCAGCCACGTTGACTATTATTGGTGTAGGTCCAGTGGAACTGTCCAGAGCATATGCTTTTGGAGTCGGACCCCTTCGTGAAAGTTTCTTAACCTCTTTTTTTTTTTTTTTTAGATTTTTTATTTCTTTATTTGACACACAGAGAGAGATCACAAGTAGGCAGAGAGTCAGGCAGAGAGAGAGGGGGAAGCAGGCTCCCTGCTGAGCAGAGAGCCCGACACGGAGCTCCATCCCAGGACCCTTAGATCATGACCTGAGCGGAAGGCAGAGGCTTAACCCACTGAGTCACCCAGGCGCCCCTTTTAACCTCTTTAAACCTCGGTTTTCTTATCTGAAAAAAAGTGGCTACGCCTACTCCAATCTATGTCAAGGGGTTAAATGGAAACATGAGGAAAGAACCTGGGTGGGGGTGCTGGGCCTGTAGTTCTGTATGCGGTAGGGTTATAGTCTGCACACTTTGCCCCAGTGGCCCAGCATCTTGGAAACGTGCCATGTTTCCTTTGTAAGCGATTTCCAGTCATTTCAGCACATGGTGAGAGTGGGTCTCAGAGCACCTGCTGTCTTGCAGAGTGCATGCTAAATAAATAGTTGTTGATCAGTTCTGAGCCCGGTGTGTTAATCGCCATGCACAGTTATGACTCCAGTGGCTCTGGGGATGGACGGAAGGATTTAGAGCTAGTCCTAGACTCGCCAGGACAGAGCGAGGATGAGACCTGCATGCTCCTGCCCCAGGGGGCTTTCCTCCATACCTCCGTGTTCTTGCAGCTGTGTGGGCATACCTCCAACTCGGAAACTAGACACCTTTCAGTGGAAAGTACAGAAAACATACCAGCCCAGTGGCTGTTGACAGAGCGTCCACCGATCAGCATTCAACTGCCTCTGGGTGAGGGCTGGCTATGCAGGACTGGGGAGGCCAAGTACAAAATGGAAATGTAGAGTTCCCTGTTCAAAATTCTTAAGAATCTCAAGATAGAAGCAGCAGAGCATTCATCCAAGTATGGCGCCCTTCTGGCCACAGGACCTTGGGCAACTGAGGATGTTTTGCACCTGTGAATCCAGCCCCACTCTGGGTTACACTCTTTATCACTTTGTCTTTTACTTGTATGTCTTCTAGTAAAAATTCTTGTTCAAGAAAATTTGGAAAATACGGAAATGAAAAAGGATAAAACGGACACCAGAGTTGGCCGCTCTCAGACACCATCAACACCATGGGGCTGTGCTGACTTCTAGCTCTGTTTGCTTTTCATTGTATATCAACCATTCCTTTATATCAGTCACTAAGGTTGTAATTATACCATACAAATTATGTATGCCACCAAAACAGTAAGAAAATATCACAGGGAGATGTGATCGTTGCAGTATTTTGAGTTCCTTCAGGTTTGATCTATTGTCTTTTGCTTCTGCTGGCTCGTGCTTGTGGAGTCCTCGCTCCTCTGATATCCACAAGGTTTTTATTGTGTGTCAAACAGGTTTGGTTTTTTGGTTTTTGTTTTTTGTTTTTTTAAGTTCTTTGCAGAAATTTGAAGACTAAGATGGTGTCCTCTTTCCCCAAGGAGGATTTTCTACATCTTTTGCCAGGTGAGTGGGGGACATGAACATTCTAGAATTTTCTTGCTCCAAATGCAGGGTTTGAGATTTTCTAGGGTAACCAGAAGACCATCGTCTGTTTCAGGGCTGGTTTTCTCAATTCACCCTTATTCACAAGGAGTGGTCCTTTTAGATATCCGGGCAAAGCAAGTGGTTATCAAGCCCCAAGCCCTCCTAGTCCTTGGAATTCGGCTTTTGCCCCAAAGCCCTACAAAGCACTAAAATCGTAATTCAGACTCCTACCCTTCCTCCAGATTAGCAAATGCTAATCTTTTGCCAAGGGGCAAAACTGTCTCCCAGTGCTAGGTCAACGGCTCTGGATCTCGCCCACTCTCAGAATTTGGCCGCAGTAATTCCTTACTCTCTGGGTAAGTCTTTGGTGCTTTTCAGAAGATGTTTTTAGACTTTATTCGGCTTTTTAAATTGTTTTTAGTGGGAGGATTGGTCTGAATGATCTAGCCCAGCATTACTGGAATCAGGAGTGTCTACATCAAAATAAAATATCAAGCAAACAAAAATTGAATCCATTATCCTACCACTCTGACTTTCAAAGTTCCATACATACTTTAGCCTCTGTTTTTCTTGAGCTTTCCCCAGCCCTACTCTATCTTGTGTCTTCAATTGCAGAATTATCTGGGGTAGTAGAATCTCAGAAAATAAGAACCGCTCGCAGTTACAGTTTATTAATTCAACAAATGTTATTTAGTGGTGGTGAGAACTGTCAGGGACTTGAAAGATTCCCAGCCTCATTGGTGAGGTTATAAATAACTCCTTCACAAGGGAGGGCTGGAAGAGGGAGGAGGAGAAGAACTGCCCGTGACACAGTAGAGGAAGGCAGGAGAAAAAGTATTGAGGAAAGGATGTTGAGAGACCAACCTACATTGTTTCACCAACTGTAGACATTGAAAAGGCGATTGCTTTATTTATTTTTTTTTTCCTAGCCACCATGCAGCCACAAACAGCCATTTGACACTGTTTGAGCTCAGGAGATATACACTTTTCTTTGCCTAGAATGCAGATATGATATAGGGAGGTACAGAAGCCATATTGTGACAATGAGGAAGAAATCAACATATTAAGAATGGAAAAGCTAAAAAGATGGAGGCAGTACCATTGACAACATGACAGAGCCACCAAACCAGCCCTGAATTTCCTATTCTCTGGCTTCTTACAATGTGAGACAATAAAACTTCTGACTTTTTTTAAGGCACGAGAGTAAGGAATTCTCTTACAGGTAAACACAATTTTTTTTTTAAGATTTTATATATTTATATGACAGAGAGAGAGATCACAAGTAGGCAGAGAGGCAGGCAGAGGGTGGGGGGGAAGCAGGCTCCCCGCTGAGCAGAGAGCCCAATGTGGGGCTCGATCCCTGGACCCTGAGATCATGACCTGAGCCGAAGGCAGAGGCTTAACCCACTGAGCCACCCAGGTGCCCCATCACAATTCTTAACTGATACCATGGTTTAATGTTGGGGGGTGGATGTTTTCCTGATGCAAGAGGAAATCAGATAATCAGTTCAGGGCTGGTATAGCAGCTCCTTGACACCATTACTGCCCCCAACTCCTTTTACCTTCCTGACTTACTATGCTTAGCACGTGGATTTGGTTCTCATGGTCACAGAAAGGTTGCTGCATCTCCATCCATGTTGCAGGCAGGACAAAAGAAAAGAGCCAAAAGATTTCAGCCCACAAAGGCATGTTTTTTCGGAAAGTAATGGAAATCCTCCTGAGGGATCTCTTCCATTTGATAGGCCAGAATTCGGACACTCAGCTGCCATCCCTTATTGCAAGTGAGTCTGAGATGAGTCTTTTCTCATTCTGGCCTTTATCAAATAGTAAGGCAAAGAAAAAAAGGTTTTGGGTGGACTTTTTGGATGTTCACATTTCTTCCCTACCCATTAGTGGGATTTTCACTCATAAAACTTTCCAGTGTAGGGGCACCTGGGTGGCTCAGTCAGTCTGACTCTTGATTTTGGCTCAGGTCATGATCTCAGGGTCCTTGGATGAACCCTCAGTTCCGTGTTCAGCGGGGAGTCTGCTTCTCCCTCTCCCTTTGCCCCTCCCCAACTTGTATGCACACTCTCTAAATGAATAAAATATTTAAAAATTTTTTCAAATGTGTAGAGGGGTAGAATGAACATTCTCCTCCATATCACCCACATTCCACAACCATCAATATTTTGCCACATGTGCTTCCTGGTTGTCCCAAATTGTATTTTATAGCTCATTTGTTCCACACAGAATGTAAAGATTTTCCCTCGAGGCATCTCTCACCCTTAGGATTTTTTAA